AACACAACCAAACGAAAGTCTATAAACATTAACGTCAGAGTCCAACGTAAACATTTACGATCACATGAGGTTGTTTGTTAAATTGAAATTAGCGCAGTTAGTGAGTTGACAATATTGGGCGGGAGGGAATATTGACGTGGGGGAGGCGTGGTCCCGCTGAATGGTGACGCCATTATGTTATTATTAGTATATTCTAGCTGTATTTTTAGTCTTTCCTGACCTAGCTGAGAATATTTTACCCGTGCGAGGGATTTTTTTGTTTTTGTGTATAGGTAACTTTTGTTTTTAAGTAACTTTTTGTATTTTAGTTACTTCTTTGTGTATAGGTAACTTTGTGTTAAAGTAGCTTTTTTGTATTTAAAGTATCTTTCTGTATTTAACTTATTTTATTTAAAGTAACTTTTTGTATTCCACCTCTCACATTGTCCATTTCAAAATAACGTTCACATTAGCTTATATATTTGGTGTGTTTGCTGGTGTGTTTTAGTGTTTAACGTATTATATATACTTGTTATGCTCACACCACTCAGCGTGCGCTACACTTTGTAATTATTATTTTTACATTTATAATTACTGGTGAGAATTTTCTGTGATTTTTCTTTTATATTTGTGTGTAATACAACAATATGGAAGATATAGTAGTCATTTTTTACTGTTTATTGATAGTTGTTGTTTTTAATATTTCTGTTCTTAGCAGTTTTTGTATTTGTATTTTAACAAAAACAAATTTGCATTCGACATTGTTGTTGTCAGTTGAGTTTAACTTTTTGTACCTTTTGAATGTCATTTGTGTACATTTAAACTCGTGTCAATATAAAATGCTGTGTATTTAACCGAATCAGTCAGCTCTATGAAGACCTTTCTTAACTGACTGCCACAATTTTGTCTCACGTCCAGGCCCGCTCACGTCATGGGCTCCTCTTTGCAACCCCAGTCCCCAGACTTACTCGCGGTAACCAGTCTTCACTAAACTACAGTTGATAAGAAATTTGGATCACAATTGTTAACTAAACACTGGCCAAACGTAAAACAAAACAAATGATTACTAACTTTAATGTTGGTCACTCTCTCTCTATATATATATATATATATATATATATATATATATATATATAAAACTCCGGCCTAAACACCACTCTGTACGAATGTTTTCTTCGACCTTCAATAACATATATTTTCATGTTTAGAATTTTGTTAAGTTGTTAACGTTGTTGGGGTCAAAGGTCACAAACCCTGGACGAACTTTTTATATTTCGGCTTGTGTGGTCATGTTCCTAGTTCTTATTCTGTTACAAATGTATCTGTTAGTGTAACCTGTATGATATGTATCTGTTAGTGTAACCTGTATGACATGTATCTGTTAGTGTAACCTGTATGACATGTATCTGTTAGTGTAACCTGTATGATATGTATCTGTTAGTGTAACCTGTATGATATGTATCTGTTAGTGTAACCTGTATGACATGTATCTGTTAGTGTATATAGTGTATATCTGTTAGTGTAACCTGTATGATATGTATCTGTTAGTGTAACCTGTATGATATGTATCTGTTAGTGTAACCTGTATGATATGTATCTGTTAGTGTAACCTGTATGACATGTATCTGTTAGTGTAACCTGTATGACATGTATCTGTTAGTGTAACCTGTATGACATGTATCTGTTAGTGTAACCTGTATGATATGTATCTGTTAGTGTAACCTGTATGATATGTATCTGTTAGTGTAACCTGTATGATATGTATCTGTTAGTGTAACCTGTATGATATGTATCTGTTAGTGTAACCTGTATGATATGTATCTGTTAGTGTAACCTGTATGATATGTATCTGTTAGTGTAACCTGTTGACATGTATCTGTTAGTGTAACCTGTATGATATGTATCTGTTAGTGTAACCTGTATGACATATCTGTTAGTGTAACCTGTATGACATGTATCTGTTAGTGTAACCTGTATGATATGTATCTGTGTTAGTGTAACCTGTATGATATGTATCTGTTAGTGTAACCTGTATGACATGTATCTGTTAGTGTAACCTGTATGATATGTATCTGTTAGTGTAACCTGTATGACATGTATCTGTTAGTGTAACCTGTATGATATGTATCTGTTAGTGTAACCTGTATGATATGTATCTGTTAGTGTAACCTATGATATGTATCTGTTAGTGTAACCTGTATGATATGTATCTGTTAGTGTAACCTGTATGATATGTATCTGTTAGTGTAACCTGTATGACATGTATCTTTAGTGTAACCTGTATGACATGTATCTGTTAGTGTAACCTGTATGACATGTATCTGTTAGTGTAACCTGTATGACATGTATCTGTTAGTGTAACCTGTATGACATGTATCTGTTAGTGTAACCTGTATGATATGTATCTGTTAGTGTAACGCCTTGACATGTATCTGTTAGTGTAACCTGTATGACATGTATCTGTTAGTGTAACCTGTATGACATGTATCTGTTAGTGTAACCTGTATGACATATCTGTTAGTGTAACCTGTATGACATGTATCTGTTAGTGTAACCTGTATGACATGTATCTGTTAGTGTAACCTGTATGATATGTATCTGTTAGTGTAACCTGTATGATATGTATCTGTTAGTGTAACCTGTATGATATGTATCTGTTAGTGTAACCTGTATGACATGTATCTGTTAGTGTAACCTGTATGACATATCTGTTAGTGTAACCTGTATGATATTGTATCTGTTAGTGTAACCTGTATGATATGTATCTGTTAGTGTAACCCGTATGACATGTATCTGTTAGTGTAACCTGTATGACATGTATCTGTTAGTGTAACCTGTATGACATGTATCTGTTAGTGTAACCTGTATGACTGTATCTGTTAGTGTAACCTGTATGACATGTATCTGTTAGTGTAACCTTATGATATGTATCTGTTAGTGTACCCTTGATTATGTATCTGTTAGTGTAACCTGTATGATGTGTATCTGTTAGTGTAACCTGTATGATGTATCTGTTAGTGTAACCTGTGACATGTATCTGTTAGTTTAACCTGTATGACATGTATCTGTTAGTGTAACCTGTATGACATGTATCTGTTAGTGTAACCTGCAGTATGTATCTGTTAGTGTAACCTATGACATGTATCTGTTAGTGTAACCTGTACGATAGTATCTGTTGTGTAACCTGTATGATATGTATCTGTTAAATTATACCTTGCTGATGTGTATGTGGTGTGCATATCTGTTAGTGAACCGTATGATATGTATCTGTTAGTGTAACCTGTATGACATGTATCTGTTAGTGTAACCTGTATGACATGTATCTGTTAGTGTAACCTGTATACAATATGTATCTTTGTATAACCTGTATGATATGTATCTGTTAGTGTAACCTGTATGACATGTATCTGTTAGTGTAACCTGTATGATATGTATCTGTTAGTGTAACCTGTATGACATGTATCTGTTAGTGTAACCTGTATGATATGTATCTGTTTAGTGTAACCTGTATCTGTTGTGTAACCTGTATGACATGTATCTGTTAGTTAGTTACCTGCATGACATGTATCTGTTAGTGTAACCTGTATGACATGTATGTTAGTGTAACCTGTATGACATGTATCTGTTAGTGTAACCTGTATGATATATGTTAGTGTAACCTGTATGACATGTATCTGTTAGTGTAACCTGTATGACATGTATCTGTTGTATACCTGTATGATATGTATCTGTTATTGTAACCTGTATGATATGTATCTATTTAAACTTTCTTATATATCTGTTATTGTAACCTGTATGACATGTATCTATTGTAACCTGTATGATATGTATCTGTTATTGTAACCTGTATGATTTTGGTTATATTTGTCAATATGTTTAATGTTTTAGTTTTGTTAATACAAAATTTGTACTTGTTTTCCCCGTCACGCCGGAATACTGAGTGAAATATTCGTTCTTCCGTCATCGTTATCTGGATAACACTTGGTGTGTGGCGATGTTATGTCTGAGACCATGTTCCCACCTTATGGCCCTTGTTATCTCTATACCCCAGTGTTGTCAGGTTACGAACATTAGAACATAAGAACATAAGGAGGTCTGCAATAGGCTGGTTGGCCTGTGCATGGCAGCTCCTGTCGAGAGTTACTACCACTCTCTATCATCCATGAATCTATCCAGTCTCCTTGAAACTTTCCAGCGTTCCAGCACAACACAACAAACTTTTCCCAGTATTGTGAGGTTATGCCAAAAACTTCCCGTGTTGTGAGGTTATGACAACAAACTATAAAGTGTTCTTAGGTTATGGTAAAACAAACTCCCCCCCAGTGATGTGAGATTACAACACAACATACTGATCCAGTACATTTAAATCATGCTTCGTGTGATGTCAGAACACAACACATACTGTATACAGATAATAAGTAATGTTACAGTGACAGACATCCGTAAGGTGTATACACTTGCCTACTGTATTTAAGTATTTTGTAGCCTTTAGTATGGCTCTGAAAATGAGATACAGCATCGGGGGTCACCTCCTGAGTTCTGGATCACTGGCTCTCCTGACGTACCCACAGTTGACCCAGCTGAGAATGGGTGCCAAAGTTTACGGTTGGGATAGTGAACTGAGCCTCACTCACCACGTGTACTTTCAACGCTTCAAACATTTTCATTAATTGTTTTTTTGAGCTTGATTTAATATTTTTTCGTCTTTTAAACCTCCAATAATTGATAATAAATTCCTGTCTGTAATCATCAACGAAAAGTAATGAAAGATTCGGAAGACAGTTTACCTATAATGTTTACATTGGAAATAATCAAAACAAGAACATGTGTAAGTAAAAATAAAATGCATTGCTGTTTCTAATAATTAAAAAAACAAACATTAACTTACTATCAATATACATTTAACTAATAATGTATCTGGTCTTGTGTAGTATCTGTAATATTAAGAAATTTTCTATACCAATATTGATGTTTGTGAATTATAGTAAAATTCACTGAAGAAAACTCAATAAAGCACTAACCTAATAATGAGTAATCACAGCGCCATTCCCGTCTTCCTGAGAGAGTTGACGATACTTCCAAAAAAAAAATATATAGTGTTTCACGTATGATATGGTAGCGTACTCCTTCCCTGTGTACCCGGACTCTGCCCTTGCGTTCCGTGTCACTGTCAGCGGCAAACTGAGGCCACGAGCGAATTGACCCCCGAATAACTTGCTCCCGTGATCCGCTGCCGGGCGTCTGGGGAAACGTTTTTGTACCTGTCTTTCTACTGGAGGTGTCCCTCGTGCCGAGGTGTCGGCCGTATGATTAATTACCCATAACAGTATTGTTTTCAATTTATTTTTTATTTTTTGTATTTTCTTTTACTGTATTTCGTCTTCCTGGCACCTAAACTTTGAGTTCTAATTTGACTTTATTATTATTATTATTATTATTATTATTATTATTGGTAGTAGTAGTAGTCACAAGTCGTAATAGTAGTAGTACCTTATTCTCTAACATAGCTCTACTTAAGGAAAATTATAAACATTTGTCAATAAATGCATACTATATTCTTTTTTTGTATTTTATGCTACTGTTGGTTTGTCTGCCACTGAAAGAAACAGATTTAATAATAATAATAATAGTAATAATAATAATAATAATAATTATAATAATAATAATAATAATAATAATAATAATAATAATAATAGATGAAGAAAATAAACATTTTATCTCACAAAATCTCAACTAGTCGCGTTTAGCAGCTAGTGATATGACTCGTACTTGGTTCTGATTGGCTGACCTCGTATCTGTTGGTGATTGGCTGGCCTGGGCTGACGGACGGATGGGTTCAAGGTGGTTGTCGGCATCCAAGGGTCAAAGCGGCGTGACCTGACCTGACCTGAACCAAAGGCTTTTCTCACGCTTCATTAGAGCTTCAAATCCCATCATGATGATCCGCATTCTAGGACCAAACTATTAAATCTCTGACCCACGAACCCGAACCCTCGTATGCTTAAATAAAAATCCCTGTCCTTGGAAGAACCTGAATACATTATGTGAAAATGTGAACCCAACTACCTGTTAAAACGAAGGCAAATAATAGTAAGTTTATAAGAGCCTTGGGAGCCTTGAAGGTCGGGGTCATGTTAGGGTGTTGATTAATGCAGCATCTCCTTGGAGGCCTGTGTGTGTGTGTATAATAATATATAATAACGGTTTATTGAAAGAGCTTGGCAGCCAGAAGGCTGAAAATATACAGTTACATATTTGGGGAATGGGTTACGAATTACAAATAATATACAAGTGACATAAGTGACACATATAAGACATATAGTGATTTAGATGGGATCAGCTCAAAATACAGTTCATTTCAACATAGTGACAGTGTAGGAGCAGTGTTTACTGGGAGTGAATACACTGATTTATTATATGTTATTGTGTGTGTGTGTGTGTGTGTGTGTGTGTGTGTGGGTGGGTGTGGTGGGTGTGTGTGTGTGTGTGTGTGTGTGTGTGTGTAGTAGTAGTAGTGTTTGAACACAACATAACTATCACACTCCTGTCAACAAGACAGTTTCCGAGACCTGTCCACAGCCTCAACCTAACAACAACACAAACAACCTCTCATTCTAATCTACCGGTTACAGTTTCAGTGGCCGATTCACTTCCTGGAGGTCTCGTTATTTTACGCAAAAAAGAAGCAAGAAAAGGAAAAGAAAGCGAAAAAAGAGGTTAAAAGAAGAGGTAAACACGGCGTCATTCACAAGTAGTGGCGCGTAAGTAAAGTGGGAGACATTCATTCATAATCACTGTCATTCATTAGCGTTGGCGCGTAAAAAGGATGTAAACATAAACTCATTCATCGTGTTGGTGTTTGACGTCACCCGTTGTCATGGTGACGGTGACGCAGTTAAACAGAAGTTAAGACTCGTACGCTTTTAACCTTTTCGTCTTAAATTTTTGTTGTCGCCTCCTAGTTTTGTTTTTTCTTCGTCATTCAATTCACATTCATTCCATTTTGTCCCCATTATTGTCTTTCCTGTTTTTAATCTTCTGTTCTCTTTCCTTTTTACTTCCTCCATCACTTTTACCCTTTTTTCCCTTTTCCTTTCCCTCCTCCTCCCTCTCCCATTTTACCTGCTCTCTTCTCTTTTATATCTTTACTTACTTAACACCCCTCTCCATTTTGCACACACACACACACACACACACACACACACACACACACACACACACACACACACTTCTACAAACCTGTCAAACATAACTTTTATTTCAACTTTCCGCCTGGCTCTCATATACACACATTAGGGCGTCAAACATGAGCTCTGTCACCAACAAACACACACACACACACACACACACACACACACACACACACCTTGTTCCTTGGCAGACTTCACAACGCTTCAGAGATGATGTGTCACAAGTTAGATTAAGAGAGAGAGAGAGAGAGACTGTACCCGTTATCACCACCCCTACCATCCCCCATCTATCATATAATTACAATGAAACAAAAAAGACTACTCCCCCCTCTCCTCCTCCTCCTTACTCCCCTCTGCTCCCTCCTCTTCCCTCTTCACCTCTTCCCTCTCGTCTCTGTTGTTGGTGTATAAAGAGGGAACCCAGTGTCTCCCTGAAGACCTCCTCTCTCTCATCCCTCTCACAATCCGTTCTTTCCCATTTCCTTCACTTATTCTACTTCCTCTCTCTCACTCTTCCTCTTTCCTACCTCCCACCCTTTCTCCCTCCCTCCTTTCCCTCCCTCCATAACCATTGACTGGATCTAATAAATGAAGGATGCAATACTAATCTCTTCTCCCTTCCCATTCTATCTACTTTCCCTTCCTTTCCCCCCTCCCCCTCCCTTCTCCCTCCTTCCTTCCTCTTCCCTCTCCCCCTCATAAACACTTTTCTCTCCTCTTCCCCTTCTGGCAAGGAATCTTTTTTCTTTTCTCCTCCTTCTCTCTTTATCCTTCAACCCCCCCTACCCACCTCGTCCTATGTCCCATAAACACTTACCCTTCCCCTCCTCCTCCTTCCTTCCTCTCAGCCGTCCCAAAATCGTAAACTCCTCTCCTTCCCTCTCCCTCCCCTCCTCCCCTCTCCCCTACCCCTTACTAGCCATCCTCCGCCCTCCTCAATCCCCTCTTCATTCTCCTTCACTTAACCTTACCTCTCTTCTTTCCCTCTTTTTCTCTTCCATCTCTTTTCCTCTCACCCCTCCCTCCTTTCTTCTTTTTCCTCCCCACTTCGGAAAGACCTCGCCTTATGCCTTCCCCTTCCTTCCCTTCCCTCTCTTCTCCTTCATTTCTCTCCCCTTCCCTCTCACCCCTCCTTCCCTAACCCATCCTTACCCTTTCTCAGTTCCCATCCTCCTTTTTTCTCCTCTCCCCCCCTTCCCTTTCCCCCTTCCCCATTTATTCTTTCCTAATTCCCCTCTCTTCCCCCACTTCCCCTCCCCTAACCCCTCTATCCCGTCCCCATCCATCCTATCCTCCTCTCCTCCTCTCCCACTCCCCTTTCCTTCCCTCTTCCCCTCCCTTCCCATCCATCTACCTCCCCCTCCCTCCTACAGGTCATAAGAGGGCGAGGCCTGGAAGAAGTATCCTGGAAGTCTTTATGTCTGGACGATAATCCTGGACCACCACCACCACCATCTCTCTTTCTCTCTCTCTCTCTCTCTCTCTCTCTCTCTCTCTCTGTTTCTTTAACCTGGAAATATTTTTTGTAGCTGTCTGTGTGTGTCTTCTCAACCTCTCCTGCCTCTCACTTTTCTACTCTCCCACACGCTCCCACATTCCTGCACTACACACACTCATATAGTCTTCCACACACTCTTTCACTATCTTACACTCTCCCACACACACTCTTGGACTCTCCCACACACACTTCTACTACACACTTCCATACACACACACACACACACACACACACACACACACACACACACTGTTACAGTCCCCCCACACTCTTGCACTCTCACACTCCCCCACTCCTCTTGCACTCTCCCACACCTTCCCTACTACATACTTCCATACACACACACACTTTTTACTCTCTCCACACGGACTCTCCCACGCTCCTTCGCTGTTCTCTTTTCACCTGCATCTCTCTCTCTCTCTCTCTCTCAGAGGCACATCAACACGCGAGATATTGCAGCCAAACTCTAAGAAGTATTTCATAAGTAAGCGGCGACCTGTGCCAATGAAAATACTTTCCCTCACTTTCGTTTCTCATATTGGAATATTTGAGTGTGCGAGAGGAATATTTGAGTGTGTGAGAGTAATATTTGAGTGTGCGAGAGGAATATTTGAGTGTGTGAGAGTAATATTTGAGTGTGCGAGAGGAATATTTGAGTGTGTGAGAGTAATATTTGAGTGAGTGAGAATAATATTTGAGTGTGCGATAGTAATATTTGAGTGTGTGAGAGGAATATTTGACCACCTGACACCCGAGCATCACACCACAACAACCTTACCTAACTTAGCTAACCTACCTTTAAGAAGACTTCAAATCTTCCTTCAACGATCTTGAGACTCGTTCCAATATTCTGAGATGTGGCCAACAGCTGACAGAAAACTTAACCTAAATTACAGTAACTGACAACTTGGCAACCTTCCATTTTTTTTCTTACAATGGTGATGGTGGTTTAGATAGTGATAGAGGTGGTAGTAATGGTGGTGGTGGTAGTGATGGTGATACTGGTAGTGGTGATAGTGGTAATACTGGTAGTGGTGGTGGTGACAACAGAACGTGACACATATTTAGCGGGGTAATTATCATAACCCGGAAATATGAACAGATGACGTATCCGGGTTTATTGCGTACTAATTAAGAGGAACTTCCTGTAGAACCCCTCACTCTCCCCTCACTCTCTTCGTTCTCCCCCACTCTCCTCTTCCCTCTTTCCCCTCACTGTCCCCCACTCTCCCCTCACCCCCCCCCTACTTACCCTCCTCTTTACTCACCTCACCTTCCCTCACCCCCAGTCTGTCTGTCTCCCCATAATTATCTTACCGAGGAGACATCTACCTGTCTACTAAGCCACTAAGTGAGAGGAGGCTAGTCTCTCTCTCTCTCTCTCTCTCTCTCAGCTCACAAGAGGTAGCTAGGACGGACATTTAGACAGTTAGGAAGACTATAAGTATCCCTGTTCATAAACTTGAGCTCATTGTAAAAC